GACTGTGTATAATTAACTTTGTGTTGCTTAATTGTTTTGTTGAATCGATTTTGTATTAGTAATTATTATGCATGCCTACTTATCTTACAGACCAAGGCAGCTAGATTTGTATTAGGGAAATATCATCGCGAGACGAAGAAATCGGGGCCAATTCTACTTCACTTGATTAAGATTTAACTACCAACATCATCAATGAAGAGAAATATGTCAGTGACAATGGAGAAATGAATCTTTTTGGGATCTAAAATGCCATGGAGAAATAAAGGCATTGCCTACAATTGTAGTATGTTGCACCATTAATTTTCTACATTATCAAGTTTATAAGGTCTATTGTATATAGAGTTTGATGAGCTTTTATAGAGTTGAATACATGGATTTTGACGGAATTTACTTGATTTCCATAGAATTCACGTGAATTTAGATCGAATTCTACATAGATTTTAATGGGGTTTGTGAGACTTTTATCATGGACTTTAATAGAGATAAGTGGATTGTCATGAACTTTTTAATGGCCAATTTATTAATAGAGTTTTCGCTTTTCGAAATTTGCACATTATATGAAATGGTGATTATGACCATGACACGTGGTCGTATGAGGTGGTGGAAGAGTCATGTAGTGATTTTTGACAATATGGTGGTAGTAAATATGATGTCTTGGTGGCCACGATAATAATAGGGGTCTAAATAGTGGCAGCGGCATGGTGTGGGGTGTGGTGGAGGAGTAGGGATGGGGTGGTGATGACAATGGTAGAGGTGGCGGTCATGATGAAGGTGGTGTCGATGGTGGTCATGGTGGTCATGGTGGTGGTGACAACGACATTAAAAAGGTGGTCGTAGGAGGTTGTGGTATGATGGTGATGATCGTGACAAGATGGTGGAAATGGGACCGTGGTGGCACTCTTTGTAAGGTGATAGTAATTGACGTGGCATGGGGGTGGAGGTGGCTGTGGGGATGTTGCTCATGACGATGACGGTGGTGAAGGCGATGATGACAATTGTGGCTGTGGGACTAGTCATGGTAAGAAGGCAGTAGCGACATGGCAGTTGAAGGATATTTATTGCATTATGATGAATGGTGGAATATTTATACAAAAATGAATAAATAAAATCCATAAAAAACTTAGGGGTAGATGTTGGATTTGATTTGACAATAAGCATACTATATAAAAGCACTCAACGTCATCCAACTCCATGACTTTTAAAATCCTTTAAAATCAATGAAATTTTGGATACATCTAAATTTTTGTAGACTTGTAAAAAGTCATATTTGAATACTATAATATTTTCCTAGACTTTTTAGAAGTCATAAAAAGTCTTTATTCAATAAGACGTATGCATGGAATACACCTAGATTTCATAACCAATCAAAGTCAATCAAACTTCATATATAATACACCCCCTAAATCAAAGGTAATAATTATTCTAATTTGAGATAGTACGTAATTGGTTTACTCAAATCTAATGGTTACTACATACAGTGCATTGCCTTCCATTGACGTGATACTGCCTTGGTTGAAGCTTTGGATGCAAGGCTGGGGATCCGTTTGTGTTTGGATAAGTATTTTGATCACATTATCCTGGAAAGTGGTCCTCTTCAGTGACATGATCACTCTCATCTCAGCCCCTTGATAGATGACATTAAATATGGTTTGAGATTATTGTTGGAGTTTTGAGCTCCTTTTAAGTCCCACATCAGGAAACTCAAGGGAACTTAAGATCCTTATGGGTGCGTTTGGTACGTGGGACGGGACGGAACAGAGTGGGACGGATGCGTTCCGTCCCACGTTTGGTGCGCTTAAATTGTGTGGAACGCCTATCCCACGGAACGAAAATGGGTTAAATTTTGGTTCCACATACCCCCCCTGGAACGGGTTGTTCCATCCCGTGGAACACAAATTTATAATTTTTTGGACAACAATACCCCTCATCTTTTTCATTAATTCCACTATCTACCCTTCCTCTCTCTCCCGTAGCCTCCCTCTCTTCGAATTCGTTCCTCTCTCCCGTAGCCTCCCTCTCTTCGAATTCGATCCCAGCAAACCCATCTGAACCCAAACAATGGCTTCCAGCAAACCCATCTGAACCCAAACCATGGCTTCCGGTTCAGTCCCTTCGCGCTCTACCTTCTTATCCGGCGCCGTCACCTCCGCGCTCAACCTTCTTCTCCGGCGCCGTCACCTCCGCGCTCCACCTTCTTCTTCGACGCTCCGACCTCCTCGCCGAGGCGGTACTAATCACGATCTGGTGACGGCAGTGAAGACTGAAGAAGATGGTGTTGTGGGTAGACAAGTACTGACCCAAAACCCTAGACCAGGCAATTGTCCACCAAGACATCGCCCAAAACCTCAAGAAACTCGTGCAACTCTACCCCTCCCTCGTCGATTTCAATTCCCAATTTCTACGATTTCATAACCCTAACTTCTTCTTGTGCAAATTGCAGAGCAGGATTGCCCCCATTTGCTCTTTTATGTCGTTGGGCATTTTGTTCAATTTCACTTTTTTTTAGTTTAATTTTGTAAGTTTTACAGTAAAAATGGTTGTTTGAATACGAACTTTCGAGATTCAGATCTTCTGTAGATTGATTTTTATGGGTTTGATTTACTGAGATTGATTTTTACTGGGATCAATTTGGGCATGCGAAGAACACGAAACGTATGGAAGAAGAGAAAGCAGAGAAACGGGAAAGAGAGGGAGAGTCAAATAAAAAGGGTAAGTTAGTCATTTAATCCCGTTCCGTTCTGTTCCATCTTGCTAGTACCAAACATGACACGAAATCTTTGTTCCGTTCCGTCCCGTCTGCGTACCAAACGGTACCTATATTACCTTAGTATTCTTTATTAGTAATTAGGTGTTGGACCATTTGAAATGGGGATGGAGGCTTGGGCCACTAATTATGTGGAATTAGGCTTGATGATTATACCATAATATTAATATTAATTAATATTAATTTATCAAGACAAGGGCGCCCTTGGGGCACTTTGGGGCCTAAGAATTAAAATTAATCTGATCAATTAGTTTTAATTTGGAATTAAGGTTTTAATTAAAAAACGTTTTGATTAATTTCCAAAGAGTTGTATAGCTTCAGATACATCCAAAAGGTATTTGAAGAGGTATGAAAGTGCATATATAACTAGAGTCCTCAGTTCCATCAAAAATCATTTTTTCTTCTTCCTTCTTTTCCGTACAAACATTCAAGAGAGTAAACATACAAAGCAATTCGCTAGAATTCTATAATCCAGTGCGCGTTGTAGAATTGGGTAATTGTATCCTGGTCGAGTAAACGTTGTAGAACCATAAGCACAAGAGTGGGACGGAAATACTGTTTGAAGGACATAGTTTTTGCGCTAACATTTTTAGTTAATAAAGTATTAGAATCTCAAGTTCTGTTATTTCTGTTATTTTTATTTATTTCTAAATTATTTTCCAACATAAGATCCTTCTCCAACTCCCGTATCATTCACACTCGACAGACATCCAATGTCGTAGCGCATAGATTGACCAAGTTAACTTTATTTTTTTTTAGCATAAATTCTTTTAGTTTGACGATGCTCCGATGTTATCCATGATGCATTAATTGACGTCTGTACCGTTTCGTTTAAAAAATAAAATAAAATCTTATGAATATTATGTGACAATTGGGATTGGCATATTTGGTGAAATCAAATCGGATGATCCAACTTAATCGGTTGTATAAAGAAAAGGTGCTAAATGACATTTTCAGATTGTCAATTATAACAGCTTTCAAAATAGAAACAAACTGGGTTGAATTGAGATTGTGATTATGCACCCAATCTGAAGATATTCTCTTATATGGTTTAGGGTTTTAACAATGGAGGTTATATATTGTAAATTTTGAATCAATTATAGCTCTTATTGTAACATCTTTACAATTTCTAAATCTGGAGATGATAGTTGATTAAAGGAATATGTACTCCTTTTTGCATCTAATTTCAAATCTTCCTCCCTACAACATCGTCTTCTTTTAATGAAGTTTTCGGTGACAGAGCAAAAAAATACATATTTCTCAATTGGCGTGAGCTCCACTTTAGACTCAAATCTTATATTAGAACTCAAATTTAAATTTTAATACGACTCAAAAATCATATATGAATGTTAAGTTCTGAAGCATTATATTCAAATATAATCAGAGTCCAAAATTTTTCAGTGCATTGGGATAGCATGAACTGAGGTCATGTAATCCAAGAAATGAACCAAATCATCTTGCTTGCTCTGTACGGTCGCTACAGCAATGCCAAGTCTCATCATGAGTAGGTGTTGATGCAATGGGACCAACCCTAATGGTCAAAGAAGTTGACAGATGACAGAATAGCCGGTCGGGGGAACATTGCATTTACCGTCCGGCCCAAAACTGATATGTTTCCTCTCTTTTTGACTCACAAAGTTGGCTCATCAGTTTGAACAATGCAGGGAAAGGTCTGCATCTTGGGCTGCAAATCTGAAATCCCATACTTCACCAATGTGGCCACCACACCTAAAATATTTTATCCCACACTCAATCCTCCCTCTCCAATAATAATTCTTCCTCACACACACTCTTGTACACTAACAATTAAGTTGTGCATGACAATCGAACGAGTGAGTAACTGTTAGTCGTTGATAAGTACGAGTCTCATGTGTATCTATGGCTAACAATCACCCAAGTGCAACGACGCATACTAAAAACTTTGCTCTTAGGAGCAAATATGTAGCCCCAAATCCACACAACTGTTTCTCTTCCTTCCCAACCCAATAATCCATACTTACGTCACTTTGTCCTTTCTCGTCATACCTCAACTCTCTCTGAGAACTTTTGTCAAACAGCTTACACCATAACAAGCTTCTATGAATTTTGGAACATACGGATAGCAAAATTAACGAGTAGGGGTAGTAATCTTCACACATCCATAAGTGAATCCATCACAACCTAGTTGCGCCACGGGCGTGGGCTAGTGTACTTTACATTCCTCTCAATAATGTGACTGAATCTAACCATGTGACAACATGTCGTGCAAAATTAACTTTACTATACGCATGGTAACATATTCCTGAACACCACATTATTCAAATCCACAGCCCGCCAGTTCTCTCTCCCCACTTTGTCTCTAAACGCTTTTGCAGTTTTGCTACTACAAACAAATTTGAATCTCTCTTTTTCTTTTATCACTGCATTTTTCATCCTTCTTTTTTCACTTTTTTTCCAACTTGAAAGTTGAAACTCCACCAGACCAAAATCCCACTCAATCACTAATTTGTTCCAAATTCAATCATGAAGTTACTAATTTCTTCCCCTTCTTTTTCGTCATGCTCATCATCATCCACTACCACTGCTTTTGACGAAACAATGTGCAGTTCGAAAAGCGCCACCGCCGGCTGCATTGCCGGAATTTTGCGCAGAATTCTATGCTATGGTAGCTTCCCCACATACCCTTCTGACCACATCACAGAAGAAAAAGAAAATTCTGTGGAACCTAGTTCCAAGGATCAAGATTTCAATTCCAATGAGAAAACAGGGGAGAAAACAGAGATCTCTGCCCCTCCAAGCATTGTGGCAAGGCTGATGGGATTGGATTCAATTCCAGATGACAACTTGGTCAGCAGCCAATCAACCCAAAATTCAGTTTCACGCAGCAAATCGATGAATTCTGCAGACCGGTTCGATGGATGTGACTCAATGCAGCATCGCCGGGTAAAGTCGAGTCGGTCATTTAGAGAGATGCCTACGTTTCTTGAGCTAGATAATGAGGAATTCTTTGTTCTCAGCTTTGAGAGTGAGAGGAAAAGCAAGGAAACAGAAACAAAAGGGAGCAAATGTGAAAAGGAACAGAGCGAAAAAACCGAAAACAGAAGAAAAAGAAAGGCAGAGAAGAAGAAGAAGCAACTTGAAGGAGGACAAAGCAGAAGGACTTTGAAAGATTTGAATGGAAGAGAGATGCTGAGAAGCAGAAGCATTTCAGATAGAAGCACTTCTGATAAAGATTCAAAAAGTACTTCAATTGCTACAAAGATGGTAGGGAAGAAGACTATATGTGATGTGCTTACAAATGTAGAATCTGAGTTCAGCTCAGAAGATTTAAGCCCAGTTTCGATTCTCGATTGTGGTCAATTTCTTGTTGATCCGGAAGTCCTTTCTTCAGGTTTGTCTCCTCAATTTTGTAGACCAATTTTCAACTTGAGTTGCACTATTTGTTTCGGTCATTTGCAAATTATTTAAGTACGGTTTTAACTTTGAATCAAAAATAGAATTGGAGGGACGCTAAACAAAACAATAAAGGGGTTTCTTTAAATTTAATATTATAAATAGGGATTAGTGTTTGTTTAGTGTTTTCGCGGTTATGTTTTTTTTTTTTAAATTCGATGGTTAAACTACCTAGAATTACTCAAAAATTAGAGTCGATTTCAAATTGGTACTTGAACTTTGATCCATCTACAAACTCGTATCAAAACTCACGAAAACCCTACCCTTAACTACATCCCTTAGTCAAACCCTACTCGTAAATATTCAACCACCTAGCAGACGTGGGCGTAACAGTTTTGGCCAAAGGGAATGTGCTCCTCTTATGTCATCAACTTCGAATCCTCTTCGCGTAGTTTAAATTAGTTCAAAGTAAAACATAGTTATGTATATTAAAATCAATATTTTTCCTGTGACAGAAGAAGATTCAAGTTTAGCCAATTCATGCAAAGAAAATGGTCCAAATGGTGATGCAAGAAGAACAAAGACAAGAGAAAGCAAATGTCTTGGATCAAAGAAGAAAGAATTCCAGACAGCAAAGCACATTGGGATGTGGAGTGAGATTTGTAGGCTGACTGAAGCTGAATTGGTCGGTTCAAATTGGATCATAAAAAACAAGGGCATGAGGAATTTTGAAGGTATTTCTGCAGGCATTGGTGCAGATTTCGAGTCACAGATTCTTTGTCAATTATTAGACGAGCTTGTAGATCAATTTGCTGATTTTCCCATGGAAATTCAGAACGTGTAAGATTTACGACCTTTGTAAATTTTGGCATCAAAATAAATCAAATCAACCAACAAAATATTGTATTTACTAGAAGCATAGTTTTTCTTCATTCGAGCCATAGTTAATCTGTCTTAATTAAATTTAAATTAGGAAGAGTTAGATTTGAACTTTGATGCAGAGGGATAGACACATTATGTCAGCGGCACGAAGAATGTTTCAAACACAAGGGAATGTATCAATTAGTCATGTGATGAGTGTTGTATGAGTCACCGACATATCTTAATTGCAGGGCAGATTCTTTCTCAAGCTTCAATTATAACAATGCTTAATTAATTCTTATCTTCTCTACTTAAAGTAGGAACATCTTCCCTTGGACTATTACGACTTAGCCACCAGGGTTCCAAGAGAGGCAGTTCCTAGTCAAGTAATTGAAGCAAGGATATAATTAAGAATGAGAATGCTTTGCTGGATGTGTTGGCACATGAACAAGGACATAATTAAGAATGAGGATATCCGAAGTAAAGTAGAAGTAGTCATAATTGAAGATAAGATGAGAGAAAATCGTTCAAGGTGATTTGGACATGTGAAACAAAGACATAAAATGCACTGATTAGAAAATACGATCATGAATATAGAGTACTTTGAGCTAACGGAAGATTTAGCGCAAAATTAGGTACAATGACATTCTAAGATTTATACAGCTGAACTTTGTTGTTATTCTATCGAGGAAAAAATGCTTTCTTGTTTTGAAAATTAAAAGGTGGGTGAATCCCCCCATATCACCCTTTATTAAAGGAGGTTTTTAATTAGTTTACTAGTAATAAAGTAGGTAGTTCAACCTCAATCCAAAAGGGTACATGTGTTGTGATATTACTGTTTGAAGATGAGTGGGTAGAAACTTAAAAATATCAAATTCCCCGGATTTAAAGTATAGTGTTGATACTTGTGGGCCAAGGCATCTCTGGGTGTTGGGACTGAAGCCACTAATCCTCTCTTTATCTAGTGCTCATGCCACTAGCAATTACCCAACTCCTAAAAAGCAGATTGAAAGGTGGAAAAAGTAGAGAGATTAGGTCTGCCTTTGTGCTCTGCAAAATATCACCTATTGGGAAGATTGGGAAGAGATTCACCTTTGGAAGGCCGAAAGCAATATGCAGATATCATAAAAAGATAGATTAACGGAAGTGATTTTCACGCAATTTTGCCATTTTTACGCTCCTGTGTAGTTTTTGACTTGTTAGATTGAATGAATCAAAAGAGAATCAACGGATATAAACGAATACGAGTGTGCAAAAGAAGGTGTGGAAATCATTTTTTCGGAAAGTAAAAAGTCTTGAAGCTGGATACTTCTGATTGCACAAGATTGGGAGGTGGGGTGGGGGGAATTCTATTTCCAAGTTCAAACGGAAAGGAAAGGTTTTCCCATGTCATCATGTGTGTACATATGCGTGTCACGCCACACATCTCATCTCTCCTTCATCATGTAATCACAGGATGACACATCTCTTTCATCATATAATCATAGGATGAGAAATAGTGACGCACGAGTATAAACACTCGAAGACACCCAAGATTCTCAGTATCTTTCGGTTGAGAAGTAAATGCAGACACAAAATTCAGCATGATAACATAAAGTTGGCCAGATGGTTAATGAATATTATCGATTTATGAATAATTCACCAGTGCAAGAGCTGGTGATACATATAAGGTATACAATCGACCAAAAACATCTTAATTAACTTGATAATTAATGATCTCATTGGGGAAAGGCTATCTCATGTTCTTCAGCATCTTTCAGCTTGAGTTTCACAAGGAGATTACAGTGAAGACGAACTAATTAAAAGGAAACACTATGTACAGAACTTGCATTCTGCACTGACTTATCTTTCTTCTCCGTCGGGTTATTTCCTCTCTTCTCCGGTTCCTTCAACCTAATTACGATGAATACGATAAAAATTTAAAAAATGGCGAATGAAAATAACATAGTTAAACGTCCGATGAAAGGAGCACTCCGGGGATTCATCAATTTAAGCCACCATCTGCTCCTGCTCAAAGTACAGCTGCTCCACCCAAGCGGGGAGCATTTCTGGACCTCCGTTGTTAGGGTTATGCTGCTGCTGCTGCTGCTGCTGCTGATCCTCGAAACCAAATTGCCCACGTTGTTGCAAGGGTTGAGGTCCATCCTTGACAAGAGATTGAACCCATGATACATCAGGTTCATCAACATGTGTTGGCATCGTGGATGAAGCAGTTGGGAAACTGCTTCCGTTGCTTCGGATTCCAAAAGAAGCAGATTTCCTCAGCTTGTTCAGCTCTTCCCCCTGCATACCCCAGTCCAATTTGCCACCAGGTGAGCCCCAATCTGAAAGGTTAGAGGGCTTTAATGTTCCAAAATCAGCAGAAGAAGAAACTCCAGTGTTACGGTTGCCGGCACTACGCTCAATGAAACTCTGACTCCTGTTTGCAAATGCAGCTGACCTTGAACTAAAAACAGCAGCTGCACTAGATGCATCAACTCCAAACATTGAAGAAGCCCTTCCAGGAGAGGATGAGAGGCTGGCAGAGTAACTGGGACGGGCCTGCAGGTTCATGTTTTGGCGCATCCCAGTCGGAGAATGTAACTGGGATGCTGTTGAATCACGCGAAAGGCCATTAAATTGAGGCAAAATTGCAGGTTCAACAGATCCAAAAATGTCGTCAAGGTTAGTAGGGTTCACTCCTCCCAGGCTATTCAATTCCCCTGTTCGATTCCCAGAGGCAGAAAAAGGTGACGCAGGAGATAAGCCATTGTTCCAGTTAGATGGGGAACCAGATATCTCATCTATCAAGCGTTGCTGCCTTCGGCGATCCTTCTCCAGGCTAAGCATTTCAATGTCAAAATCCATATCTCTAGCACTTAGAGTAGATTTCAACCTGCTACCTGGGAGCTGCAAGGTAGGGGGTGCAAAGTTTGGATTGTTTTGCCACATGAAACCACTCCTAGGAGAAGAAGGTCCAGTGGGAGTCATGGGTGGAGTTGAAGTAGGAGGAATCATCATGGATGGAGAATTGAGGGAAAGTGGGGTAATTGACCCCATATCCAGAGAAGCACCACTGGCTGAGAATGACCTCGGAGAAGGCACAGCAGAACCTGTCGAAGCATACAAGGGACGAAGCTCTTCTGGCTTGTGAGCAAAGAAACATACCCTTCTTGTGCATCCGGTCTCATCCTTACAAAGACGAGTGCGGTACTGGGCAGGGTGAAGCCAACATTCAAAAATACCATGTGCATATTCACAATCATCTCCCTGCCTGCAGGTCCCCTTTCTGAACTCCGGGCAAGGAACACAGCTGTAATGATATTTCCTTGGATCACGCCGCCTCGCATTTTCTCCAGGGTGGACAAATGGGCACTCTGTCCAGTCGTGTGAGTAAGCCCTAGAGCAAGGCTTAACCTTGAAAGTATACATTCTAAACTCATCTGTGCTATAAATCCCATTCTTGATATCTGGAAGAGAGAGATCAACAGGATACTCTTTCCTCTCCGTTCCATCTTTTGAAGCACGAGGAGTTGTAATCTCTTTCTGTTCTTGACCTTCTGTCTCATTAATCATTTGCTCCGAGAAGTCAAAAGGTTCATCAATACTGGGAACACCCTTGAGCATGCCCTCCAAAGCTTTCTTCCTCAAATTGAAGCTCGAACCATATGCAGATGTGATCAAGTCACCAGCTTGGTTTCCATTAGCATCAAGAGCACTCGAATCAGCAGAAGCAGCAAGCAAGAGCTTGACAACCTCCGCCAAAGCAGCAGAGCCACCAGCAACAGCACAATGAAGAGCAGTGGCTCTATCTGAACCGCAGGCTCTATTAACATTAACAATACACAATTGAAGAATATAATTCAACACGTTCTTGCTACCGAACATAGCAGCGATCATGAGGGGCGTCCTCTCCTCATACCCCAACTTCTTCGATCCAATCAGCCTCCCGTACCAATAGCTCGCCTCATCAACATCATGACCCTCTTCTTCGACAGCCCTTTTGAGCCCTTCAAGATCATCGCAGGCTGCTAGTTCAAGCAAAATCGAAAAGCTATACAGCATCCCTTCTTGTTTCTCATGCTCCATGACCATATCCGTGGAGGAAGGTTTCGTCTTGGAACCACTGCACATGGATCTCAAAACAGTCTCTTCCTATAACAGGAACACATCAATTCAAACACCCTCTGTCAGCAAGATCACAAGCATGGGCACTTTATGGAGGAAAAAGATACACGAACAAAGAGCGAAATTCTATCATCCAAAGCCATAAAAGCAAAATTCATAAAGATCGATTCGTAAAAGGTGTGCTAGGGATTTGATCAAAACATAAAAATTCGAACTTTGGTGTCATCATTTAACCGTATTGTCAACACACAAATGTTACCCAATTTCAAGCAAAAACTGAAACAGAAATCTGTTAACACAGCCCCTCATAACAAAAATACCACCACTTGTTTTGGTTGCCAGGAAAATGGGAAAAGAAAATTCACATACAGCTCTCTCTCTCTCTCTCTCTCTCTCTCTCTCTCTCTCTCTCTACCCCCTTCTAGTAAACCAATCCACAACTCAACTCTTACACAAATTCTTCTACTCCTTCCAAACTTCTAATCCCCAATAAATAACAAAACCCATCAAAGTAAAAGAGAAAACTAAATTTCAATTAAACTCAATTCTTCTACTTCTTTCTTCCAACTTTTTTTAATCCCCAACAAATAACAAACAAACCCATCAAAGAAAAAGAACCAAACTTTCTTTCAAAATTCCCATTTTCTCAAGAACCAAACAGAAAAATCAACAAAAACTTCCAGAAAACAAAAACCCAAATGGGATTACACCCCAAATAATCGAATTAAACAATGAAAACACATAAAAATTAAAGAGCACGGGCATACCTTACTGCAGCAGAGAAATGATATACAAAGGAGAAAGAACTCTCAGAGTTGCTCAGAAAAAAGACCCAACTCCTCCCACCTCCTCTTTTAACTCTACAAAAAAAACCAAACTATTAGCAAAGACAGAGACTCTTCGTTCCTTCCTTCTGAGTTTTTATGGTTTTTTTTTTCTCCAGTCAAAAAAGAAGGAGCCTACTAAATATGCAAGCGCTCCTTCTCTCTATCTCTCTCTCGCTCTCTCCCTTCTTTCATCCAGAAAATTAAAAAAAAAAAACAAATTAAAAGAGAAGCTAATAAATTCGTTTTATTTTTAAATTCCGGTGGGTCCCGCTGTTTTTTAAATATCTAAGAGCTCACGAGTAGCGGATGGCCGCGTGTCTACGATCCTGTGAAACCGACCACACCAGAGCGATGTGTGCAGATTCCGGGACAGTCACCGCTCTACGCGTATTTGTCTTTACAAATGACGTGGCGATACCTCCACCGTCCGTTATCCGAGAAGGAAAAGAACCAATTCGCTTCTAGATCATGATAGTTTTACCCGCTGTCACTGAAATATAAACGACTGAGATATCTTATTGGTTGGATCTCTTCCACCAAATCCAACCAATCAACTAATCCAAATCCTTGAAATTTGATCTAACGGCTAAAATTATTATAACTTTTTAAGGACTCTCTGTTTGTAGCCGTTGAATCAAATTTCAAAAGCCTAAATTAATTGATTGGTGGGCTTTGATATGAGAGAACAGGAGAGGATCTCTTCCCTGTTGGGAGTGCAGTTTTTCAACTGTAAGGTCGATGATTTGTCTGTTAGCGTGGGTTGTGGAGACGGTCGGTGAGGTTATCGGTTCGGGGTGGTAGTCGTCGTTCACTGCGGCACTTTGGAATTCTTGGAGCCATCGACGAATGAGAGAGGCTCGATGCTTTTTCTAGAACCCTCGCTTTCGTTTCGCCTGCAACATAATAAATATTTGAATTCTATTTTATTAAATTAATGACGTAATAAATGGAGCAAAAAAGTCTTTTTCTTCGATTTTTTTTTTCTGGTAGATAAATTTGTCAAAAAAAAAAGTCTACCATCGTGGGGCTCTCTCATTTAAGTTGTCTCCTTTTTCTGGATTATTTTTTTCAAAAATTAAATTGAATGATTTGCAAATTGCCTTATTTTCCTCAATTATCTCAGCCTAATCATCGCCATCATCTTTAAACCATGTACTAATCTTCTTCTTAATCTACTCTTGCTTCATTACATATGCAAGATTTTGCCTCTTAAGAGACGAGGTAAAAAGTATCATTTCTTGCTACATTTGAAAAACCGAGACCGTACATGCATTTTTGTTATTGCTTTTTTGGACGAGTGCATTTGTTGTGGCAGCCCAATCATTTCTGTTTCTTCTTTTTGAAAAAAAAAATTGTAATAAATATTGAAATACACATGGTGAGTTCAAAATAAAATTATAGGCAAGTTGTAATTGTCATGATTTAGTAAGTGCTCCAATTGTGACACCCACTGAATTTAATCTATATGTAATTATTTTAGTTGCCAAGAATATATATGTCATTACAAAATCCAATCAATGATTTGATTCCTTACACGTGTTCGGATGTGAAAATTATTCTAGAGAGCTGCTAGATCCACCCAGTTGTGTTATTTTCCCACCCACTATTATTCCTAAAATAACTCTTAATATATATATATATATAATTAAAGATAAAAAATCACAGAGCTATGCTTCAATGATATGATGTCCACAAATCAAGATGATCCGCATAAAATTATCTTTTATCTCTTCGACGGAAACATAATCATCTACTTCTTCCATAGAAACATCATCTTCTAAGTTTATTCTTTTTGTTTTATCCGAATGAAAGGAGATAGGAATGATGAGTTAGGGTTTAAGGGAGACAAATTGTCTAAACATAGCGCGAGAGTTATCACGCCCAAACTTTTCTTTTTTATTTTTTATAAAACAAAAATGTAATGCAAAATGGGGTAACTAAGGTCCTTATTAGTCATTTTACAATTTGGCAAATTTGTAATTAAAAAATTCATAAAAAGACGGGTGGAAAGATAAGACATTGGGGTGGGAATAACAGCTCTCTTATTCTAAAATGACAGAATTTTATTTTTGTAAATTTGTGAATTTGTTTGTCTAATTAACATAAAATAGCAATGAAATTTGAATGCAGAATTTAATGTGTGTATAGAAACATTAATATATAAATGAGGGATAGTAGTTAAAAAATATGCTAGTAGTGGTGACAGCGACGGTGATAAGTGGTACCAACTAAAAGTCCTGGAAGTTCCAAATTTGTGCATCATATGCTACCAAGTTAAAAATAACATTGTCCACAATAAGAGCATCCACATGATGATTGAGCAATACACATGAAGGTTTTGGAAGCAAACTAGGCCACAATTAACATAGAAGCTCAAGATCCATCCATTTTCGGACCAAGTATGCACATAGAAACAAATGACACTAATACATGTACGTTATAATCACAACAGACTTGTATTGGTAGCACATAGAAACAAATAACACTAATACATGTACGTTACAATCACAACAGACTTGCATTGGTAGCACACAAAATTCACTGTCATACAACGAAACCACATCAAGTCATCACCACTCAGCAATACCATAATACTCATTTAAGGGAACCACAACCCACTAAAGGGATACAATCAACCTATAATTCTCAAAACTTTTGTCACTCCATCCCCGCAGGGGCAGAAAAAATTTATTGTTGTCTTGGATGTGCTACTGGAGGCTCCTGAGAAGTTGGAATAGGAGAGCACTCATCTTGAAATAGACTTACTACTTAAATATTTTCAACAGTTATCCACTCCATACTTGGCTATATAGCATTTAATGTGAGCACATTAACTAGTACACCAGAGTTATAGGAACCATTTAATATTTTTTTAAAGCCAGGAATATTAAGTTGAGTTGAAAGACAAAGAACAAAGTGACAATTGATGACTAAGTGGACAAGCCCCATCTTATGGCTTAGTATTGGTTTGGTATTGTGGTGTTTTTATAAAAAAAATAAGTATACAAAAAAATTGAGCTCAAAAAGGTATTTGGTAAACACTTAAAAACAGTTTATTTTCACAATTTTGGATGAAAAAAGCTGAAAATGTGAAGCAGCAAAAATGAGTTTATTCTCACAGTACAACAGAAGTAGTTTTTTTTCAAAGCATAACAATACAAAACCAGCTCTTAGTACTTTTCTTCAAAGCAAACTTTCCAACTTGAACCCAAAGACAATCGGACGGTCATCCTCCAATCCATGAACAATGGACAAATCAACGGCTCAAAGTGTGTCCCAAAAATCAAAAGCCAAATTTGACTGTGCAAGTGAGAAAGCGACATCAAAGATTACGTGCAATACAAGATAAGCGGCAGGTCTGTGTCATTTTGTGTCGTTTACTTCGGTGGAAAACGACATCTTATGTGTGTGTGATCACTCTAGTTCAATCCTATCAGCATCAAAGTTTTTAGATTGTAATTAGATGTTGATACCTGGGACTCTGTATGCTTGTTTTTGGTCTCCTCTTGTTTGTTTCTTTGTTTGTTTGTTTGTTTTTTTTATTTACTACTATTATTCGTTTTTTGAAACAGCATCGAAAAGTATTTCAACATTCTTTGTGAAAAAGCGACTAAAAGAAGTAGAATTTCATTTCACACGACGTTCCGATACTCAAAGTTAATTACTTGTGTGAACATGGTCGAATTACCCATCTTTAGATGATAAAAAAAAAATTATGAAGAAAATCAGCTAAAGGGAAAGGGTAATTTCAAAAGAAAACTTATGAAAATGGTTTGAAAACTTTGAATTTTAATAACAATGACAAAATAAAGGATAAAGTAAATAATACCATGATTGATTTTTTTAATATAAAAAATATGAGTTTTTATTAAAATAAATAATACCGAGAATTTTTCGTTAAAATTCTCTAATTTCAATTGTCCTTCTTTTTCAGAAAGTGGAATGCATTCACTTTCTTCCAAAATCTCAATTGTTGTTTTTTCTTTTTCATGAAGTGTGAAGGGAAAGTTGGATGACAAACAATGCACATGTTACTAGAGGGACAGGTGTCACTGCTGTATATGGACTTTTTTTGTTTTGGGAAAAATTTATAAAATATGGGAAGAAATGAGATGGAATGAAGGCTCTAGAGCTTGTTTGGAATAATTTTTAAAATAGCTGAATCGTTTATAGAGAAAATATTTTTTTTGTTTTATAAGCAATTCAAGAGTTATTTTTTTAAAATTCACTTATATTCTTATTAAAATTTTATATTAAAAATATTTTTATCAAAAGTACTTTATTTATTTTAAAAATAATTTCAAACGAGTCTTTAAATTTTATTATATACACTACCTTTTTTTTATTATTATTATATACTTTAATGTTTACATAATTACTTTGAGTTCGGATCCGGACCCAAGGTTTTGTTCCCCAGTACAGAGGAGGACAGAGAGTTGTTCAGAGATCCAACCCAAAACATTGACTAATGAGGTCCAACCACTTAAACTATGGGCTGCAAGACGATGGTATTGGGGTACTCCTAGCCCACTGTGGTTTAATTTACCTACCTAAGACCTTGGCCGGAAACAGAGAGTGGTATCAATACATTCACTTATACAGGAGTCACACTTTTATAATGGGCCGAGAAATTTGAGCATGATACGAATTTATTGAACTCATGGGTTCAATATATCAAACTCAAAGTGTAGTACAATATATTGAACTCACACTAATGTAGCAGTGTTGTTATAGAAATTAAGCTCAAGATACCTGATTCCTATATACAGGTATCACACTCACCTCATCACTATGAAGGGCATAACATTACGTGAATGTTTTGAGATACCAACACTTTAACGTCTCAGTTTCATATATAAGTTATTCCATGGAGTAAATAAGCATATATGCTAAACTGACAATACAACACAATGCAAATTACAAAACAAACTGCCGTAGATCAACAGAAACATTTACATTCTTACAAACAAGTCACTAATACAGCACAAAATGGATTTACCAATAAATTATAGGGCTGACTAGAAAAACAGAGGCTTTTCTAATGCCAAATGCTATATGCTAAAAGCTACAGTATACGTACATGTACTTACAAAAAGCACAGTTTAGCAAAAAATTAGTCCAGACTAATTCTAGCAGGAAGGCAAACGCCGGGAGCTTGCTCGTCGACGGAAAGAGTTCCAGCAGCAGCCAGTTTCATTACTGGATGAGCAGTGAGACAGAACTTCTGGCGTGCTTCGACAAAGCTTCGGCTGAGAACTTGTTCCACCCACTCCTCTACGGCTTTCTTCTTGTCCGATAACCAGCCAGCTGCGAGCATCTGAACCATGACTCCGAAATCAATCTCCAGCTGAACCTCATATCTGAATATTTTCTTAAATTCGTGATTGATTTCCTTCACTATTTTCTCAGCAAGTGCATCGAAATCAAATGGCTTCAAAACCACTTTTCCGTCCACTTGATTGAGGAAACCTTCCAACCAAGCTTCCGAGTTTTCGGAGATGGAGTCACCGTCACAATCTTCAGAATCTATGTTCTCGTCTGTCTCCGCTACTGGCAAATTCAAATCAAGAAAGTTCCTTAATTGCTTGTTGGACCGTTTCTGTAGTTCAGAGGATTGCTCTATGGAGGCATTGGTGTCAATCAGCTTTCTTTTATTTACAGAAGAATACGGGTTCGAGGTTCCATCTCTTGGTGCAATCCTCACACTCATGCCCTTGCTTTGGTTGGCATCTCCAAAATTCCGAATTTGCATTTGACATTTCTCGGCGGTAAGTATGATCTCCTCAGAAAATTTATGGGGTTCGATCTCTACAGAGTGGCTTTTGCTGCTCTTTTTTATAGTGGAGGTTGTCACGAAGATTATGTCGTTAATGCTGATTTCTCTCCCATGCGAGTCTGGAAACTTGCCAGTCCTAATGGCCTGGGACAAGCTACTCTGGGCAATAAAGTCCGCCTTATCGACATTTTCAAGGAAGACCACTGAAGGAGGTCTCCTGCTTAACTCCCCTGCAACGTAATCAACAACTGTCTTACCCCTAAACTTCAAATTGTAATCATCTGCGCATTCGGATTGAAAAACTGAGTTTGATTGGTAACCCCTGTCTTGGGAATCCAGATCCACAGAAATTAAGCTTTCTCTGGAGCCAAAAAGTATCTCAGCAAGTGCTAAAGCAAGTTTCTTCTTTCCGACTTTGTCAGGTCCAATCAAAGTCAGCCATATATCTCCTCTAACTTTTGAACCCTGATTCCTTCCACCACCAGATTTGCAACGTGCCACAGCTTGACTGATACTGCAAATGGCTTCATTTTGCCAGCCAACCTTTTCTGTGAGAACTCTCGTAAGTGATTTGATATCGCTTGGATCAATCTGCCCTCCAAGATCAGAAGCAGAGCAGGAAGAGGACTGAGCTATTTGGCGTGAACTATTTTCACTCAATACATCAAATTCAGCAGAAATGGAACCAGAGAGGTGGTGGGAACTCCCTTTAATATCTTGTAATTGAGGACTTAATGGCCCTTGGCTGGTTGCTGCATATAATGTTCCCAATCCCAAATCTGTTGCCACAGAAGTGATCAACGCAGATGATGTGTAGTCGGTGGGCAGATTGTGGATGGGGTAAGTAGTTAGGCAGGGACTTCCCAGTTCAACTCGCTGACCCTTCGAATCTTTTACCAATAGCTCGGACTGGAGACTGGTATTCTCACCATCAGAAACTACTTGCACAGGCAAGTTCTGTTTTGATAGATAACTCTTTTGCATAACCATTGGCTGGCAGTGAAATTGAATAGCACATCCACTTTCATTTGGAGATGAGTCTTCACCACTGTTTTCTTTTCTATCCCAAACAGCTAGGGAGCCCTCGGCAGATGCAACTTGACGCCCTGCTTGATAAATGTCCACTTTAGGGAATGGTTGAGCATGAAGATTTTGTCGGCAGAAATCATCCCATTTTTTCTGCAGTGCTGATACTGTAACATTCATTGTTGTTTTATCATCTTTGGTCTGCATGAATAATGAAACACACTTACACATATGCTCGAGCAAATACAGGTAATAGATTAAAATCCAACCAGTTACAAGAAACATGCTCGTCAAACTCCATGTGTTTGTGCGTGAAGGCATGCTTATGTGTGCACAGAAGTTATTCCAACTTGATCCATAAAATTAACTCGAAGGGGTTACATACCTTTGCTAGATCATCTCCCTTGCCAGTGCCAAGTTTGTGCATTTGTAACCAAGAAGGCAAGCTATCTGACCGCTGATCAGTTACCGAAACAGTTGATCCTACTTTCAGAACAGAAGCAATTTCTTGCTCATACTTCTCTGTGCACCCATGACAACGTCCAAACGATCGATATGTGCTGCTCAATGGATTTTTGAAGTTGGATGGTGCAGAAAAGAATCCGCCAAATGGAACGAAGGACCCCATCAAACTGTAAGTATATCATGAGCACGGAACTGTGAGATCCAACGAGCACAGAACAGTCAGACACTTAAGTGTATTACTTGTAACATACACTCAATACATTCACGCAACTTATACCACTGCTATCGACTTAAACATTATAACGTGTACGTTGGGACGTGAATGCATATATGGATCAAACACTCTCACTCTGAAATCAGTTCTATTAAAAAAGAAAATTATAAAGCCTAAACCAGAGTAATGAAATCAAACAACACTCGTCTTTTCGGACCAAAACATCATATTTTTCGTGTATCAAACTCAAAACCACAACCAAATTATGACTTCAAGCAACTTCAGACACACATCAAGCATCAATCCACAGGAGCATATTGAGCATTTGCACTAAATACAAAAAACAGAGTTAGATAACCACCTGGATTTCGAGTAACCTCCTTCCATTGAAGCTTTAGAAGAAGTAATGGGAAGAAGATGAAGATCCCAATCCTTCTCAATCGTCGAAAACCAAAGCGAAAGCTTTGTAAACACTTCGTGGCTCGCAGCCGCGCCAATCAACCGTAATTTCCCACCATGAATCTCCAACAAGCTCTTCAACTGCAGCACCACAAAGCTCAGAGCTTCCTCCGCCACCATACCCTCACCCACTAAACCCTTCAAATCCCCAATATTTACAATAACACCACTTCCAGCTCCAGAGCAACGCGCAGCCATTCGACCCACCTCCTCAAACTTGGAACCCATCTCCTCCTCGCTTCCGCCATTGACGACGAACTCAGAAACCTCCTTCTCGATGGATACCATGCTAAAGTTATCGATTTCAGCTGGAAAAATCCCCGCTTTACCCTTCTGCACGGCCTCGGTGAAGCTCTTCAGAGCGTCGCCGGCGCAAACGCCGATTAGCAACGGATTTTTCCCGCTTTTTCTAACCAACACGTCGGCTATTCTTCTGGAGTTCTCGTCTCTGTCTTCGAACCCGGAAAAAGGGAAGCTGAATCCGGGTCGGGCATGGTCCGAGTCCGTTAAGTTGCACAGGAAAATGGGCGGGCACCGGGTCCGACGAAACCGGGTGGATTGCGTGACCGGCGGGTGAATAATCGCGAACTTTATATCACAGCTCCGAAACCCGGCTTCTCCGAAGACCCGACTCACAATCGGGTCGTCCAAAATAGATAAAACAAAGTGTTTCAGCTCAACCTTCAAAAGCGATGCCGCTTGCTGCTGGCTGTGAATCTGGTGCAAGTGAAAGCTCGCCGGATGCCGCCTCTGGTTCGCCTGAGACCGCTTGATCGCCGCCATGAGCGAGTTCGAGACCGGAGGCTCGTCCTGTGCCTTGGACGACGGCAACCTGTCCAAGGAAACTCCGACGGAGAGCTCGAGAGCCCGGAACTGTAGGCGTGGGGAGTACGCGCTGCTCCTGGCGCGGGCGCAGGCGTCGCGGAGGGCCGAGGACGGCAAGGAAAGCAAGGCCGAGACGGCATGTAACGACGTCGTCTGGGCGTGGCTCCGCCTGCGCGCTACAACAACGGCGTCGTCCAAAGCACGTGCCGCCTCGTCCGTCAAGCATTGCCTCGCTGCGCTCACCGGCGTCGGCATCGCCGGCTAGCGTGTATAATAATATATATGCACAGATGGATACACACGAAGACACAAAAATCCCGCCTTTCTTAGAAGGAAATAAAATATGGAAATATATTTGAGAAAGCTTCGATTAAATTATGCAATCTGCGAGGAGTATAAAATGGAGAGAGAGAAAGAGATTTTGGTTCTGTTGGTGTTGTGTACCGGTTGCTAAATGCCGCGGGTGTAGCAACTGTTTTAGGGCGTGGGGTGGGGGGAGGTGATGGGACCTTGGATTAGGCATTAATACAAACTGCAACCCGAGCATGGGGATCAGAGCCTGCTAAACAACTCATTCTCATTCGATCTTTAAAATTTGATTTAACAATTCAAATTATTATAACTTTAGAGGGATCTCTTTGTTTGAAGTTATTGAATCAAATTTCAAGAATCATGATGGGTTGCTCAACAGACTCCGGTCCCCGCGCTCGGGAGGGGATCCGGTTCCTACAAACTGAGCATCAGCATAAATCCGCTTCTTTCTTCTCCTTCCCTTTGGCTTTTAATTGTTTTGGAAAAGTTTGGCCGTGACTTCCACAATGCATAAGTGAGATTCGACATGCAAATTCAGTTGTCCGATGCATCAGAATATGTGACATCTTCATGATTTGTACGAAAATTTTGTAGTGTATTAGTGTAACTCGACGGTTAGATTTGTAACACTGAATTTTGATATTTTTAATTTAAACTTTCAAATATCAGCACATTACATGCACCGATGAGTTGTAAAAAAACGATGACTCGTAACTTTCTTTCTATTTGATGAGCTGTAAAAAAAACAATAACTCGTAACTTTCTTTCTATTTGCGTCCTTGTCTTTCATGTGGTTTTGAGGCCATCAAAGTTTTTTTTAGTACATCGATATTTTTACATTAAGAGGAGAGTTAGGCTAAACCACATAACAGACAGTCTAATTTGGTATCGAATTCGCTTTCGCCGAGATTCGAACATAAGACCTCCTCACTTCCAAGTGAAGAGGAACACCATCAAACCTTAGTATTAAGTGGCAAGGCCTTTAAAGTTTTTAAAAGTGTTATTTATTGAAAAATATCAAACTATGAGTTTTTTTGTTTTAGAAACAGAGACTGTGGCGGTCCACCTTTTCGTGAATTTGAAATACTCACAGAAGCATTTCAGCTTTTCCTGACAATTATAGTGTGTTTCAGCCACCGTTTGACCACTATTGTGTGTTTCACCAGCGTAAAAAATCGAACCTAAAATGTACCGTGTAAAATATAAACCTGAAATTCAGCTTCAATCACTAATCTCTCTATGGTAGTTAAACTATGAATTTATTATACTAAACTCAACCATTGAAATCGCTCTTACACAAACATTTAAATTTTATAAATTAAAATCAAACTCAAATTTTCAGCCTCCTGTGAAAGACGGCATAAGTGATGATTGTGAGAGGAATCAAGCACAAGATTTTTGAATGCAATGTTCTTAACTACTTTTAACCCCTAATGCTTGGGAGAAGATTGATATTTGATCCTGATGCCGTGTCCACCAGAGAAACAATACAAATGCCAGCAGGATCCTTTCCGGATTCTTTTGATGATATCTTATAAATTTGTTAATCGTGTTTATTCATTGTATATTATGCGATCAATTTTATTATGTACTATTGGTATTTAATTTTAAATAAAAATATTTAAAATAATTTCTAATCGCACGATATACAATGAACGAATACGATTCACGAATTTCCGAAAATCTCACAAATAGGATCCGGATTCATACAAATGGACCAACATGATGACATTAGCCGTCAACGTCAAGGCTTTGAGCCCTTCAGAATTAGCCTTATTAATTTCTAAAATTGGTGATGTCCAAGTGAATAATTGATAGAGGCATTGGAGGACTAACGTAAAATATACACATCACACGTGCCATGTGTCTTTTACTTATTCCATGGCTTTTTCTCACAACTAATTTGGGATTGTTGTGTCTTTTTATTAAACTGAATATGCTGTGCTGTGAAAATAAATAATTGTAAAAAAATAAGCAAATATTTTGTAAACTATATTGCTAAAAATGCTTTTAGCAAAAAAAAAAAAAAGAGATTAGGACTATCAATATGAAAGTTTAATTTATTAGTATTATTCACATGCCTCCAATGAATTTTTTTTAGAAGCGCGTATAGAGCTGGTTCTGATTTCTGATGTTTTGAATCCATAATTTTGAAATAATACAAATTTAACAAACACAATTAAGACACCAATTTTTTTAAGAAGTTGCTTTTAAAAAAAAATTAAGCAACTCAAACCAGATGTAATAGCATTAGCATTTAGTTGGGTGGTTTACTTTTTAAATGACAAGCATCTATTGAGCAAGTAATGTCATTACTAATAAACTTTTTAGGCTTATCGTAGTCCACCACTAATATCATCAATATTATCCAACTTAATAACTTGTTATTAGGTGTTTGGTTTCATTACAAAATGTCTCTGTATTATGTTGTATATTATTTTGTTATATTTGTGACATGGAATTTATTCTCCAACAATTAGCCTGGATTGTTTCCTCAAACTTTCTTACCTCGTGCTTTTCTCTATAAGTGACATAACTGAAATTGTTGCGAAGATAAACTTCAACTCAATCGAGACTTCCTTGTCACAGCAGAACGTCATAATAAAATTCTAACAATATTGTGACAGCAGTGATTCACACTCTTGTATAAAGAGAAATCCAAATTGCTTACCTTTTTCGATAAACTTAAACTTTTAAATTAGTTAAACCATGATTATCTGCTAATTGACACATTAGCCAATCATATTAGCAAGTTTACATGGCCACAAAACACAAGTATAATATGTAAAATGGATATAAAGTTTAGTTAAATCGTGATTATCTGTTAATTGACACATCAGCCAATCAGATTAGCAAGTTTACATGGCCACAAAACACAAGTGTAATATGTAAAATGGATATAAAGTTTTTGAGAGGGAAAGCAACTTGAACTTATATTATACTATTTATAAAGATATGATCAAAGTTATATCAACAAAAGCATATGAGGGAGTGACCCAACACCAACCAAGAGCCATCCTCAAGGCAGCCCCCACCTGAACACTTGGTAGAAAAAGCCCTTGGGGGACCTAATGGAAATTTTAGTCATATGTTGGACCTGATATGCCTATCACAGGCGAGGCAGGCCTTTTCTGAATTATTTCACGACTCAGTTTCAGTGTCATTAGCCTCTTTTTAGGGTAAAATATCATTAGACTGCATGATTAGATCAACTCTTAATGGTCTTGTATGAAACGATGCAAAGGGTTAAAGGGTTATTTTTAGTAGTCTAGACCATGGTGTAATTCAACTACCTAGTAGTTCGACTTTTTATCAAGTAGATTGGCAAGTTCAAAAAAATAAAATAAAATTTCCTCAATTCAATATTAACCATTTATTTTCGGTCTACATAGTCATTTAAAAGTTAAGTGAGGTCAAAATATAAGTAACCTTATGCCCTTGTGACAGTCGTTCTCTATGAATACAGAGGTTCTATGACAAAATCCACCACAATTCAACTAGTGCATACAGCTTCTTCAAAAATTCAATATCCGGATAGACATTACTTGGGGATGGTTTGGGAGTGAGGTGCTTAAAAAAAAAGCACCCATGAAAAAAAACTGTGAGGGTTTTAGGGGTTTGGTAAACTGAAAAAAAAGGGCTTATTTTGGAAGCTGCTGTGAGAATAAGCTGAAATCAAAGGAAAAAGATGAAGTTGCTATTTGCAACTTTGGAAAACTGGTTTTTTTTCAAAGCACACGGAGCTACAGTGCTCCTTTAATGAAAAGACCCACTATCAGACTGCTTTTTTTTTTTAAAAGCACTTTTACAAAAAAGTTTACCAAACACTCTGCTGATTTATTTCATAGCCGCTTATTCTCACAGCACAACCGCTTATTCTCACAACAGCCTTTTTTTAAAGCACAACAATACCAAACTAGCATTTGGTCCTTAGAAAGCCTCGTAAGTTAGTAATATTGGATTCTACAAGGGCTATCGGATAGTGGTGCCACAAGAATAGCAATTTCTTGCAAATAAATTGCCTACAAATGATGTAGTTGGATGTTTTCATCTAAATATTTTTATAGGAAAACTAATGAAAAAAACTTAAAAATTTTGAGTTTTTATCAAAATGACAAAAAGATATTATAAATGAATAGTATCATGAATAACTTTTTAAAGTAAAAATATCTTTAACGTTAAAAGTGAAGAGTACGAAAAATGTTTTGTTAAGACTTTTTATTTTTATTTTTATTTTTTTTTCAATCTCAAAGTTTCAAAAGAAAGAGGTGAAGATGGGCAAAAGGTGTTTGATTTGACTTCTTGTTTTTGTTCTTTGTAGTTGTCCCTTCCTTTTCCCTTTCCTTTTCCTTTTCCCTTGTTTGCTTGCGCTGCCTTTACACACTTCTACTTCTCTCATTCCAAAAGAAAAATAATAAAAAATCTTAGTTTGAAGATCTGCAACTCTAACTTAGATTCCCAAATCTATGCAAGAAAACTACGTACCTTTGAAAAACTAGAGATGTGAGGAGAGGAGACTTCACTTGTAAGCAAATCCCACTTTGACTTTCTTAGAGTTGATGAAAATATGGTTTGTATAGTATAGCCATCGATTTGAGCAAGATCTTTAAATTTTAAGACGCGTTTTTATTAGAAGTACATCAATATTTTTTATAAAAAAAATATATGTTAGAATGTATGTTAAGTACTTTTTGTAACCTTAAAGCACTTGTAACTTTTTCTGCTAAATATTATTAGAACCGCTTGCATTGATTTGAAACTGTGTTTAATTCTTTTAAAAACTCTTTGAAACAGACTTCAATTAGGGGGGAAGTGGTTGATCCTATTCTCCATTCATGAATTTCCAAATTCATGAATTTTCATTTCCAAGTAAGCAAGCATGCCTAATTCTTATAGCATGTTTACTACCATCAAATGTGAGCATGAAAATAATTAACATCATTCTGATTTATTAATTTTTTTTTTAATTTTTTGAGTAGTAGAGGAATAATATTAGTGGATTTTACTGGGAAATGGGAATCAATGGGAATCGAATCCGTGCCAGAGTGTATAAACATAATTACTTTCTATCACTGCGGAAAACACAATCTGCTACTTTTTCTACATTTACTAACACGTAAATGGTCAAAAAATAAGTTAGGCTACACATTAAAACGAGTAATTTGATACTTCCCTTATTTCAACTTTACAGTCGATAACATCAATGGTCCTACAACATGTTTCTATCTTAAATTTTTTGCCAGACATATAAACCTTCCCCAGAAGC